AACCACTGAGCCAAACCGACCACGGCTCTCTTCGACCATATTAAAATTGAAATCCCTGTTAGACATCCTCGTGAAATGTTGTGTGAATACTTGGATCGACAGTGCAAGCCTGGAGTGTAGGAAAGAGCCTGGGGGCTGAGATACACATTTGCGAGTCATCAGCATATAGAGGGAAGGGGGTGTGTAGCATGATAGAGTTTGATGATAGAGCCGGACTTGGATATATCACCCAGAGAGTGATTACTGATAGAGAATGGGTTGGAGCACTAAGGGAATCCAACATTTAGAAGTCAGAGAGCCCTCAGCGGTTAGAGCGTCAGCCTGTGGACCAGAGAGTCATGGGTTCAGTTCCCGCTAAGGCCACGTACATCCCTTGCAGTTTGTCCCCGGCCCCGGTTGGGGTCGTGTGGGTGGCAACCACTCAATGTGTCTCTCACGTCGATGTTTCTCTCTCTCTTCCTCCCTCTCTCCCTCCCGCTCTATCTGAAGATAAATGCAAAAAATGTCCTCGAGTGAGGATAAAAAGAAAGAAGTCAGAGAGAAGAGGATGGTATCCAAGGAATGGTGAGTGAGGAGGAAATCCGGATGAGGGCTTTTATAAGGTCAAATGAAGATTATTTTTTAATCCTCACCCGAGGACATTTTTCCATTTTTTGTTCAGGTAGAGTGGGAGGGAGAGAGAGGAACAGAGAGAGAGAGAAACATTGATGTGAAAGGAACACATCGAGTGGCCGCCACCCGCACAACCGACCAGGGCCGGGGACAAACTGCAACCGAGGTACGTGCCCTTAGCGGTAACCGAACCCGGGTCTCTCAGGACCGCAGGCCGACGCTCTAACCGCTGAGCCAAACCGGCCAGGGCGAAGATTATTTTTTAAAGAGGGAAAATAATACAATATGTTTGTGTTCTGTAGGAATGATTGAACAGAAAAGAATAGTCTGATAGTACTGAAAAGGGGATAATTTCAGTGTAAAATCTTTTAGTTGAGAATGGAATGTTATTTTACGTTATAAGCTGACATTATAGGTACCTCCTTCCTCAATGTTTATATTCCGTGATCAATGCTTACACAGCGTCAGTTAGGGTGCTTTTCACTGAAAGTCAAAACGGTCAAGGAAACCCGAATCAAGCTTGTGCAAACAATTAACTGGCTTATATCCAGTGAGAAGTCCACCGGTAGTGATAAGCTCAGGTAAGGCTTGATCCAGCGGCTTGGTGACTTAGTTTCTTTCCATTACTCTGCATTGCTCTCCAATGTGTCAGCTCCAGTTAAGACTGCTCCCTTTATGCAGCGGTTCTCAACCTGTGGGTCGCGACCCCTTTGGGGGTCGAAGGACCCTTTCACAGGGGTCACCTAAGACCATCGGAAAACACATACTTCCGATGGTCTTAGGAACGGAGACACAGCTCCTGTCTCCAGGCGGGTCCGCCCACATGCAGATACGCCCACATACAACAGGAGGAGCTGCATTACAGGGTCCCGGCATCAGGAAGGTTGAGAACCACTGCTTTATGGTCTCAAGACAACTTGCCAGCAGCTCCTGGGGCTACGTTTCTTCATTATGTTCATTAAGAAAGAGTATTCCAATATTCCCAGAAAAAGCCCCAAAGTTCACCCTTCCTAGACTAGGTTAGTTCATGCACCGACCCCCAAACCAATTTCCACAGCCGCAAGAAAGGAAAGCGGTGAACAGCAAAGCCAGAGTCTCCCTGACACGGAGCCGAAAAGCAAGGGCTAGGGGAAGGACTAAGCTCCACTCTGTCTGAATGAAAGGTCACATTGTAACAGTAATAAACCTCAGGCAACCGCTGGAGAAAAATAACACACGCTAAATACACCTATCCTAAAGCAGGTAAAAATTACATTTGGAAATGAATGTATTTACCATTAGATGGATAGAGATCACTGTTCCTTTGTTTATCCAAGAGACAGGAACTTAGATTGGAGGCCATCAGCAGTAACGAGGGTAAATGTCTTTCGATTCTACTTTCTTATATGCAAGTCAAACTTGGTCAATAATTTGAGATGGTAAAAAAAAATCTCTCTTCAAAGCATGTAAATTTAATGACCATTAGATTTATGGGCTCCTTCAGGACCAGAGCAGGTGATGCCGCAGAATGTGGCCTACTGGAGGGCGGTAGTTTCTGGGCACCAACCAGCGGCTGATAGGACGGGTGGATTTCACTACTGCTGTTGTCCGGCGATAAGGAGAGGTGAGGCAACCGGGCAGGGTCAACGCTTGTAGCCTCGAAGCTTACGGTCATTGCAATGCGGCCTCATTTCGGTCTGCAGTGAATTCCTTTCCTGTGAACAGCCAGACGCCTCTCATTACGACTCAGACCTTTCACTTTGCCAGAACTTTCTTTAGTGGGACCATTAAAATTCCATAGATTGTGAGGCCTCAGGATTACATAAAGCTGTACTGATTCCTGGCAGCCGGATGGAAATGCCGCTCAGATGCCGGCGGAGGGAGCCTGTTCTACCTGATGCCGGCGGAGGGAGCCTGTTCTACCTGATGCCGGCGGAGGGAGCCTGGTCTACCTGATGCCGGCGGAGGGAGCCTGTTCTACCTGATGCCGGCGGAGGGAGCCTGGTCTACCTGATGCCGGCGGAGGGAGCCTGTTCTACCTGATGCCGGCGGAGGGAGCCTGGTCTACCCCCTGATGCAGGCGGAGGGAGCCTGGTCTACCCCTGATGCCGGCGGAGGGAGCCTGGTCTACCCCTGATGCAGGCGGAGGGAGCCTGGTCTACCCCTGATGCCGGCGGAGGGAGCCTGGTCTACCCCTGATGCAGGCGGAGGGAGCCTGGTCTACCCCTGATGCCGGCGGAGGGAGCCTGGTCTACCCCTGATGCCGGCGGAGGGAGCCTGGTCTACCCCTGATGCCGGCGGAGGGAGCCTGGTCTACCTGATGCCGGCGGAGGGAGCCTGTTCTACCCCTGATGCCGGCGGAGGGAGCCTGGTCTACCCCTGATGCCGGCGGAGGGAGCCTGTTCTACCCCCTGATGCAGCCGGAGGGAGCCTGGTCTACCCGCTGCAGTGCTGAGCGTTTTGTCTCTGGAGCCCTACCTGAGCAGGAATTCAAGGCAATGGCCAGAGCACACCTCTTCCCGGACATGCCCCATTCAGCCTCTTCTGTTGATTCTACTGTAAACCTACCCCCTTTTTTCTGGCGCAACATACAACAAAACAGAGTAAGATTCGCCCTTTCATCCTCTTCAGCACCCACACAGACTGATACTGCATACCCACCGAAAGTACCGGCCTGGTCAACCACTGCTCTTTTTCCCTTAGTTTCTCCAAAATGTTTACCTTTTTTTTTTTTTTTTCCTTTTGCATTGCCATTTTTAGGGAACACCAAAGAAAGGTTTGTTTTGCTCATTCTTCCTTAGAACGTAATGTTGTATTGAACATTTCATGGTTAGGGTTTTGTTACCATTTTTTTTTTTATCCTCATCCAGGACATTTTTGCATTTATCTTTAGATAGAGTGGGAGGGAGAGAGGGAGGAAGAGAGAGAGAGAAACATCAATGTGAGAGACATATCACTGGTTGCCACCCACATGACCCCAACTGGTGCCAGGAACAAACTGCAACCGAGGTACGTGCCCTTAGTGGGAACTGAACCCTGGTCTCTGTGACCCACAGGCCGACGCTCAGCCACTGAGCCCAACTGGCCAGGGCTTGTTACCAATTCTTACTTAGTTCTTTTGAGCAAAGGAACAAAATGCATTTAAAATGTATGAACGGCTGGACAGGGAACCGAGTCTTTGCAGATGTTAATGTTTGCTCAGCGTCTCCTTGTGGGAACGTGGCCGGGTAGGTGTGGCGCCTGGATGCTTCTCCTAGACCGCGCGGGCCCAGCGTCCCCGGCAGGAAGCAGATACAGCTGTGCCCACGTAGGTGCCAGGAGCCGCATCTTCATCTCCAGTTAGAATCCTCTTTCAATCCAGCTGAGAGAACAAGATTGTTCTGCTATGTTTTATCCGTATTTGAATGGAGGACTCACTGTTTTCACATTCTAGAGGGAAGTCATGAACCAACGCCCGTGTGCCCATTGGCACCGCCACTTAAAGGAGCTGTGAGCACGAGATGGACCCGGTTCTGCCCGCAAAGAGGTTTTAATTCTAGAGACTCCATTCTACTTTTCTCTGTCGCCCTGTCACCCAATTTTTTTTCAAGACAAGAAGATAAAAATTGATCTTCCTTTCTCCTCTCCAACCTTTATCTGTGACTCAAACTAGGGCCTATGGCAAGAAGTCTCTCCCTCTGAATCCGCAGTAGACTGTGTAAGTTCTGCCTTCCCTGTAACACCACGTCCCTGCCCACTGTCGCAGGACGTGTGGTCCCTCCCTGTGGGCAGTGTTGTCAAGCTTGGTCATGTGTCTTGCTTGGGCCAGTGTCATGCGAGAAGTGACCATGGGCCGGTATGGAGCACACATTTTAAGAAGTGGCTTAAAGCTTGAAGATGCGGCTGCCCTATTTCTACCAGCTCTTTTTGCTTTTCCTCTGCCCGGATCTCAGTACAGGCTTCACTTTAGTTTGTGTCCTAGAATGAGAAGACATTGAGAAAAACTGCTGCCCTGGCTGGTGTGGCTCAGTGGGTTCGTGGGTCACAAGTTCAATTCCCAGTCAGGGCACATGCCTAACTTTTGGGTTCAATCCTTGGCTGGGATGTGTGTGGAGGCAACCGATCAGTGTTTCTGTCTCACACTGACGTTTCTCTCTCTCTTTGCCCCTCTCCCTTCCTCTCACTCTAGAATTGATAAAAACATATCCTCTGGTGAGAATTTTTAAAATATTTAAAGAAAGAGAAGAGTTGCAGCCAACCCACAGCCACCAAACTAATGTGAGAAATAAAAATAATATAAAAATAATGTTGTCATAAGCCATTGAGAAGTTTAGGGTCTTTTGTTACTGTAGCTGAGCCAACGAATACAAAGACCAAATCAAGAACAATAAATGGAAGATACAATAAATGCAATAGTCACAGTTCCCAGTCACCTTTATTTATATAAAAGTATATTAAATAAATTATCTCAGTATATACAAACAGAACTATATTACCTCTATAAATAGAAAACCCTCACATACAAAACCTTTAAAAATGTATATAAATAGCCTGGGGTGGGGCAGGGGCTGGGATAAAGGGAGTAAAGGGGAGATATTGGGGGGTATCTGTAATATTATCGACAAATAACATTTAAAAATATCACATAAATATATACAATGTTGACCATATAAGCTTGAAGTACCTTAAATCATATACTTTATGTAGTTTGTATAGTAGTCTTATAAAAATATAGCTAGCTGTCAACAGCATTTCAAAGTGCTAAACCGTCATGAGTTAGGAACGTACCCGAAGTAGAAGTCTCCTGCATTGAACATAGTCATGCAAAGGTTTGCTGACTGCTTTGAACCTCCAAAAGAACTCTTAAAAAGAAAAGAGAACCTAAACACCACATTTAGAAAGGACAGACTTATTTTAGAAAAGTCCACCCAATTTCCATTTTACTCTCCCACATATCTGAAGTCAGCCTCTTGAAAGTTCTCCAAAAGTCCACCCAGAACTTTTTAAGGCATGTTTTCATTTGTTTTTGCTTAGATGACCTAATTTCATCTTGAGTATAGAACATAAAGTCTAAAGCATGATATGTGCAAAAGGTGCCATAGTGTTAAAAAAAAGAAATTTAAAAAACTTGGAATTGGGTGTACCGTTCATTACATTCCAAAGTGACTTGTGCTGGTGTTGAAACCAGAATGCTAATCGTGAGAACAGTCAGATAAAGAACTTTCTTTGGGCCCAAGGGTCTCCATGCTCCAAAACATTCATTTTTGTTTCCATATATCCTTTCTCGTAAAAGGTCTTGGTCACAGTGCAATGTAAACTCTGCAGAAGTCGGCAGCTCCGACGCCACGTGCTTTATGCGACACCGAAGGGGGCGTTCTTGCCGCTGCGCCCTGCTCTGGCTTTCCTGCACTTGTGCAGACTCAGGGACAGGGTGGCGATGAAGGTGATGACCACGAGCACCACCGCTCCGATGATGAAGAACATGTCTGAAAAATAAAAGGTGCCAAATCAATATGGAGAGACAGCTCAGATCCCATTTCTCCACGGACAGAACTGAGGGCTTCACTCCAAATTACACCATCCTGCTTTTGTGTAATTTGACATTTCTTTCCTCCACTCTTCCCACCACAACGCGTTTTGGTTAGGAAAGAATTTGTCACACCCTAGATGTTTTAGGGCAATTGACAGTGGCCCAAACGCATTAAACGAGCCATTTAGTCAACTGGATAGTGTCCATGGTCTAGGGAAGGTACGCACAGAGTGAAGTAGGAACAGCTGTTAGAAACGTGGCCAAGAATAATGCTGACTTTGGCGGCCACGCTTACAGTAGAAGATGAACTATCAGTGCAAAGAGACACCGAGTGCCACCCGAATTCAGGTGAACACAGATGAAAACTAGTTGGGGGCAATAAGAAGGCTTCCTGGTGGAGGTGGTATTTGCAATGGTTCGCAAAGGACGGACTTCAGCAGATAGAGGGAGAGGCCTGGGAAGCAGCGGTCGGGGTGTGCGTGAAGACAGAGGCAGCGGAACTCGAGCTGGCTTTAGGAAGACAGATGTGAAGGCTGTGGGTGTGATGGCCCGAAGGCTGCAGGACCAGAGAGAAGGAGAGTCCTTTCCTTCTGTCAATGTCAATAAATGGAAGATAATTTATTTTGAAGTGTTTTTAAATTTTTAAATCTCTTCTTAGCAAGGAGCTAGGTCATCATTACTATCCTTTGACTTTTATCCCTGAAAGTACCCAGAGCACTTTCTTGACAAGGCCTGGAGGGAAACTCCTAGGCTTTCAGCCTCGGGTACGTGTCTGAACACACAGCAATTCCAATTAGGAACACTCCTCACTGTGTGTGGGCCCCTCTGTGCATATGCATGTACACACAGACATGGGTATATGTGATAGACTGAATCCCTTCCCTTCATGGGTTAGACTTTATATCCTCTGTGGGTGGCAACAGCCCATTGTGGGTGCTCACAGCTGGTCCGGATGCTCCCCTCCAAACCCTGAAGATTAGAATTTAAGTATGAAAACGTGTCCAGAGAAATCTGAGATTGATGCTAGACCCCAAACATGGACTGTGTGCCCAGTACTCAGCAGAGAGCACAAGGTAGGTGCTCAAGAAAACACTTGCTACTATAAGGGAACAACATAGAAACATTTCTAAAAGCGTGGTTTTACTTATTAAAGTGTGGTTTCTCACAATTTAAACAAAACAAGGCATAAACAACATCTCCTGCAGAGGGGTCAGTTACTGCCTACCTGAAAGATGACTTCCTCTGGCCATATTAGGATTTACAGAATCAACCCAAATTGCCCAGGAAAAATGGAGAAGTTGTCCACCAGGCTGCTGTCTACCAGCCTATTCAAAGTGCACCTCACTCCTCCCTCTTTATGGGAAAGAAGGCGAGTGTGCAGGAGTGTGCCAATTGGGTTCCATAAGTCTGAGGGGAGGGCTTCCTAGAAACCTAAACTCATGATCGCTGGAAACTTGGGATGGATGAAATATCTGTGACCTCGTTACCCTTTTGGCAGTGGTAGACTATTGCTATGTAGTTATTTTTGCTTTATTGTTACTGTAAAGTTAATTTGACCTGCGTTTACAGAGGAACACACTCAAAGCACTGATTTAGGAGCTACATGGTACTCTGACTGGCATTCACTTCAATTGAAACAATTCTCCTGTAATGCTTTAAAGATTATGAGTAACTTCCCAAAAACACAAAACCAAGAAAAACCAGGCCAGTTTTCCTCTCAACAAAAGTACATCCTTGTCCTGGACAGCTTGCTCGGTGGTTAGAGCGTCAGCCCACAGACCAAAGGGCATGTACCTGGGTTGCAGGTTTGATCCCGGGCCCTGGTTGGGCTCATGTGAGAAACAACCAGTCGATGAGTCTCTCTCAAATCAATGTTTCTCTCTCCCCCGCCACCCCGTTTCTACTCTAAGAATTAATGGAAGGATATCCTCAGGTGAGGATTAAGAAAAAAAGTACATCCTTGTTCTGAGGGAGGAGCTAGTCCTTGGGAGGCAGCTGTGCATCTGAGCTGCGGGCAGAGCCACTCACCTCTGGACACGCCTTTCTTCTGGCTCGTGCACTCAGTGGGGCTTTCTGGACTCTTCTGGTTAGCCCTTCGTGATGAAATCACTGCTTGAACATTGAAACAGTAGTTTTCTCCTTTATCCACATCAATCAAAAACTCATTAGTGTTTGTCTTGGCTGTTTTCTGTTAAAAGATAAAGAGTTCTTAATTCACCGGGGCTCCAAGTGAGTTCTTTCTCTTTCACTAAATCACCACGGAAGTAAAAACCTACATGGACACATCTGACACACACATGATCAGAAATGACTGTGCTAAATAGTTCCCTGTGATAACTGCTGAGGATGCTTTTTCCAAGACCCTCAATCCAATGAGCCCCTTTAGAAGATGTTTGCGGTAACAAAAGAAAAGGATGATGTATTAATTGTTGAATGGAAAACAAATTTTGTCTCTGGGATCCTCAATAGAGAAAGCAATGTGAGACCTGGAAGGAATTTTAAATACTATCTGGTCCAGCCTCTTGGCTGAGGAACCTGGGTACCCAAGGGGTCCTGCCCAAAGTCACAAGGTTGCTCAAAGTCACAGGTAGAACCAGGACAGCAAGCATCCCTCCCACTCCACCACACTGCCCTCTCCAACACCCCATTCTGCTATTTTTCAACTGGGGAAGAGGTGGGCTCTAAAACCAAGGACCCACGTTGTAAAGCAAGTCTTGCAAACAAATGAAAGGATCCTCACCTTTCCTGTGCTTGAAGCTTTCCAATAATAAAGTATGTAACTTAAGTCCTCGCCAAAGACGTCCCGGAGGCTTAGGAATGTGCCATTCCCTCTGACTAAGGTCCGAGCATCCCGTACGGTCACATTCAGTTTTGTGTCGGCTTGGTTGAAACTCTGAATTGTTGGCTGTCCGAGGTTTGCTAAAACAGAATACACTTCATTGGAACCAAAGAATTCTCTATAAAACAGAATCCCATTTAGTTATTACTGTTGATGACACCCTGGTCATCCCTCATATTAATAACTTGCATAGAATCGGCTCCCTGGCAGTAGTCAGTGAACCCCAAGTAGTAGAGCTGAACCCCAAGACCTTCTACAGTCGTGCTGCCGATGGGCATATAACCGCAGCCTCTGATGTCATGTTACATGTTCCTCACTCACATTAGAAAACATGAAAAGGAACAGGTAACATTTATTTCAAGAATATATTTTATTTAACCCAATAGAGTGAAAATATGATCATTTTAACATGCAGTCAATCTAAAAACTTTCGGAGATATTTTTCAAAATCTCGTGGGTACTTTACTCTTATAGCATTAACCATATTTCTGGTGCTCTATCGCCAGACCTGGTTAGTGGCTACTGCATGAAATAACACAGTTGCATGAGATTCCACGTTTTACATACAATAAACTAGGGGAAAGCCCAGGAAATGTCCTGGTACCTCAAGGAACCAGTCTTAACCCCTGGGACTCTGGATGGCTCAACGACCTCATGTGCTGTGATTGAATGGCAGTAAAACTAAACCCAAATTATATGCAAGTATGTGTGAGCACATACAACATAAATATGCAAAATATATCCTATCCTATCTTGCACCAAAAGAGTATTTGAGGTGGCTTACAAAAAACTTGAGAACTGTAACAGACAATCGAGAGGATGCCATCAATGAACGGAGAAGGACAGCCAATGATCTGGCGCAGTCACTGGTGTTGTTTGGGGCTGTGGCGTCTAAACTCCAGCGGGGTGCCGTATCGGACTCCGTGAAAGGCGCAGAAAGAGTCTGAAGACAGCTTCTGGCAAACAGGGGCTCAGGGAAGGCAGCCAGATTCACCTCGGCCAAGGTACTTTCTATTTCAAACAAGTAGATACTGGCGGGGAAACATTGGTTGACTGTCCCTCTGCCCCTTCTCACCATCCCTGTCTCGAGAAACTATTCTCTCAGTGGGTGGTACGAGGGATAGATATAAAAGCACCGACAGCATGACACTGTCTTTTTAACCTTTCATTCTAGGTCTTCTTATAAGACCTTAAAGGATTTCACTCTTTCCAATGTGCTGCGTTTTATTTAAAACACCTAGTTCAGCACTACAGTCATGACCAAAAAATGTAATCTCCTACTTGGCAGGAATCCTGTGCATTCCCTTAGGCGGTGTTAAGGTCAGCGCACTGGGGCAAAGACTAGGAGGAAAGCATTCTACACTTTCAAAACCCGGCATGAAGGCGGCAGGCTGGGAGTGGGCTGGGCAAGTGCCGGCAAAGCACGGGACTTAAAAAAGGTCAGCAAGCCTGGTTATGGGGTCAGAGAGAAACTGGACTTTCCCTAGGCATTTGTGACTGTGAAGGACCTTTAACTGGGATTTCTGGTCTAATGATGGGACAGAATTTTAGGATGTGTGTGTGTGTGTATAAATAAATATAATCTTTGAAATATATATGGAGAAATGCTGAAACCCCAGCCTTGGTGGATTTCCTAGTCTCCCAGGCCCCATCCAGCCCGTTACTAAATGGTCTGGGAACAGGCTGGTGGAGAAAGTTACTTGACACTGCTCCACAGTTCCTGCTCTGTGAACCTCCCGCCACATGGGAATGAGTGAAGAGGGGTGGCGCACTTTCCCGTTTTTGAGAAAGAGGGTGTTTATGGAGAAATACTTTTTTAAATGTACTGGCCCCTACAGTTCATAAGCCCACAAAAAGATTCCAGAGCTTATAACAACAAGAATGAAACGGAACTACTTACTCTCCACGTAAGGTGTGAAGTCGGGGGAGTTTGTGTACATGGGCTCCCCAGCGTAACTGTTGGCGTTTGCCGGGAGGGAGAGGACCCTCGCGAAGTATGTCTGCTTCACGTCCTTCACAATCTCATCAGTGAGGTCACACTCGGTGTCTGTTGTGGCGTAGCATTTGCTTTTCCAATTTCCTAACCTAGGGCTAAGGGAAGGAAGAGAGACAGAACATTATTGTTTGTGTCCAACAAGACAGATGGTTTTCTGGCTGCAGAGCTGTGACAATAATAGCATCCACAACACTGGAGATGCACTGGGTCCTCCCAGTAACCCGGGTGGCTCTGTGATCCTCTTTCCACAGATACAGTAACAGTCAAAATGAGCTTTGGTGGCCAACTCAAAGTCACACAACTAGACTTGAAGCCAGACAGCAGTTTGTTGGGTCTGTGCTCTTAACCATTTTGTTAACCATCTTTCTTAAAACATAGACGATTTTTTATTAAGACCCAATTATTTATTACTTATTCTACTGTACTATATTCTATTTATGATATCACATTCTATATTCTCTATAGGATATAGTCAATGTAGTAATAATGGAGTTCTATGTAATATATCCTATATATTACATTGTATCATGACAATTATTGGTGTGGTTATTTAATATTTACTGAATCCACTATATGCCAGGTACTATATACTAGGCCATTTACACACGTTACTTCATTTGACATAATCCTGCCAAGAAGGTATTGGATCTTTTTTACACACAGGGATACTGAAGCTCAGAGACCATAAGTCACTTGTGCAAGGTCCCATAACGAATGAGGTGAGAACTGGGTCTGTTTGTGTCGTTCTACTACCGGGCTCTCTCACTTTTACAAAATGTGAACACATCCCACTGAAGGTTACAGACTCACAATACAGGGAGTGTCTCTCTAACAAAACGTGGAAGGCTGAGAGGCTAAGAGATGTTTCTTTTGTAAAACCTCACTGAGGAGGAAATGATTTAAAGGACGTCTATAAATATAAAATTATTTTAAAGGGCCCAAAAAATTCACAGATGAATGTTATTGCAGCTTGATCCACAAACTTCTGTCCCCTATAAAATGAAAGCCACCCAGCTCTTCTCCTCAGCATCATTGCCGCCTCCGCCCGTCCAACATTGAAGACCTTGTTCCAATCCCACTTTCTCCAGGAACCTCCAGATGTCCTTGCGCAGCTTTGATCTCCCCTCCCCGTTTCCCAGCACTGATATCATCATCAAAGCACTTCATGTTGCGCATGGTCTGCCTGGTACCAGGGGTCAATGCCCTTGTGTTTGCCATTAAGCAGCAAGGCCCAAGGGCTCTTATGCGGCCAGGCCTTGCTGAGTATTAGTGGTTTGCATTTACAAGTTGAATCAGGGAGAAAACAAGCTGAATTCAATTATCCAAATCCGTGCATAAGAGCCATAAATACGTATTTTTCAAAAATTTGAACTAAGTAACCAGGTGAAGAGGGTATGAGTGAACACATTCTTTGTCCTAAAACTCACAAACTAACATCGATACAGAGAGATTTTGGTTTCTTAGGTTTCTATAATTTTCTGTGAGGAGTAGAGAGGCTGTCTCAGTTCCAGAGTGACCAAAATGCATTTTGCAAAAGTGAAGGCAAACATGATTCCTCTCCATCACGACGGCAAGCACGCCGTCCAGACAGCAGCAGGAAGATGCTGAGCTGTGCGGCTACGTTCCGTCTGAGAGACCCGTATTTGGTTTCTCCCAGATCACACGTAGGAATCATAGTACTCCTCGGCAAAATTTAGCACATGCACCTGTATCACTGAAACTAGTAAAATCAGTAAAGTTGTGTGAACAGGTAATGAAGGGGCAATTCTGCCGTAAGTTCCTCTGAATGTTACCACCAGCATTAACACTTTAAAAGCCCCTGAAGGCCCTCTAGGTGTGTATGGCAAGATCTCCCGATTTTAAAAAATCAGGTAAGTCATCAATAGGTTTCCACATGTTAGCCCAACAGAAGACTGAATATATTTAGGAGGTAAGCATTCCTCCTAGAATGTTATTTTCTTCAGCTCTGTGCTCTGGAATCTGAATTGACAATTTTGACCATAATCATAATGATGTCCTCAGGTTATGAAATTCCTTTCCCTCACTCTCTGTATCTGTACATGCATCTGTGCACACACACAAATTCTCTTCTCTGTTGGTTGGGCAACAGTCATGAAGTTCATTTTTAAAAACAAGAACATCCACCTCAAACACCCCCTCCATATGTAGGAGTTGCATTCCTAATGCTATAAAAGGCTTGAGAAAAACAAAATAAAACAAAACAAATAAAAAGCAAAACACCTTTAATTTTAGTCAGTGATACTTTTGTGCCTCTCTACAGCTAGTGTTAAAATAATTTCCACAGCTGCTCTCCTCTAATTTATGAGATCTCTACCAAGCCTCCTAGAACCTATCAGAAACCAGAAACTTTCAAGGATATGGTGAAAACCATCAAGGAAGACATGTCTACATTTAGACTGAATATACTGAATTACGGACTCTGGGGGAGAGCTGTCAATCAGAGACAAGGTTAAACGAGTGGAGCAGCCCTGACAGCTGAGGGTGCAGACAGAGGAGTATTTCTTTCCAGTTTTGTGAGTCACAAAATTAACCTCCTCCAACATCAGGTATGCCGTCGAATTCTAAATCATGAGTCCAAGGATGATGTGTCAAACATTGCTTCAGGGCAATGTGTATATCCGAACTCCTGCCCCCCTCTTCCCTAACACATTAGAGCTGGCTCACAGTCTAGACAGCATGTGTGCGTATGCTTGGGTGAGATTAATTATCCATCCAGAATCACATCTATCAGTGCCAATAGGAGGTTCACCTATCCACAGCTCATACTCAGGAATTTTCCCATCATCTCCAAAAACAATTAAAATGTTTTATCAGTTTAAGGTCTGGATGTGTTGCAGGCTTAATAGAGTATGGCTATGATCAGCAAATTACCATGTCATCTGTTAAATAATCTCATCTGACAATCATCTTTAAAGACATTTGTACTCAGCACAGAAAAGTAGAAACATCAAAAACTGTATTTTTCTTTTTCTTTTTGCACCTGGCTTACCTTATCTGAACAGTGTAGACAGTATTGATGGGTTTGGGTTCCCACTCCAAAATTGTCTTGAAATTAGTTGATTTCCAAGTTAAATTATATGCTACCACGACACCTGTAGTGCCTTTAAACAAAAGAGCAAAAGCTATTATTACATGAACTTCTCAGCACATGGTTTCATGTTGAAGGTATAAAAACATCTTACCCCCCCACCCCCAAACATCACCATCAACCTCACATTAATCTTTTTCCAACTACAAAAGCTTCACTACTGAATTATCAAGAGAAAAAAATCTTCAAGTTTTTCCCAAACCCAGAATTTTCTCACGTCAGATCTTCCTTGTAATGTAAGGAAACAGGCAAGGATCCTGAAATTATTGTTTGGAATCATTCATGGGGGACTCCCCATCATCAGGGCCCTAGGGTGTCCATGGCCTAGCTGGGGGGAGTACAGGACTCAGGGTCAATTTCGGCAGGGAAGGCGGGCTAGGAAAGGTGTTCCCTAAGTCATGGAAAAGGGCAAATCCCACATGTGTGAGAGGAGTTAGGGCTGCATATAATGAAAAAGCCAAATCTTGACCCTTGTCATTTTTATCTAAAATGCCTCTATACTGAAACTTCCACCCAGACAGATGTGGGGCTGGTCACACCACGGGCTGTACACTGGTTTAGATGTTTTATAAGTAAGGTTTGCGTTGCCAACACTGAGCAGGCCGGTCTGCTTGGCCTCCCACAGAATAGGCATCTTGGGGCATGGACAATGTTAATGACTACTTCCCAAGCGACACTTTGCAGCAGGATTGCCTCTCACTCAATCTAAAACAAAGATGATCAAGACAGGACCCAGGGCCACTGCGGCTTAATTAAGCGAAGTGCACACTTATTGAGGATACTATCCAAACCATCATTGCACACTGACCTGTGCAGGTGCGGATGCAAGTACTATTTTCAAGGTCACGGGGAAGCTCTTTCCCTAAACTTAAATGGGAGCCACAAGTTCACTTATGCAACAACGCGCCTCGCAACAAGCATCTGGAGCAGATGCAGGCGGGGTCCCCGGCGCGAACCACCCACCCTCCAGCTCACGCCCGGGTTCCTTCAAACGCGGGTGGGTGAGCGTGGCGAGTTCGGCGGGCGCTGGGAGCAACCTCCGGCAGCAAGTGTGAGCCCGCTGTCAGCCAGGACTGACCCCCTCTTTCGCGCCAAGAGCCCCAGGACTTCGGCAAGACGGGTGCCACTCACCTGAGACTCCGGCCACCTGGACCAGGACCCAGCCGAGGAGAAGTGTCCTAGAGACCGCGGCCTCGGGGCAGAGCACGCGGGGTCTGGTAGGAGTCATCGTGTCCGTGAGCCGGGAGCGAGGTCAGGAGGATTCATTTGCGCCCCGGAGGCTGGGGAGGTCGGGCTGAAGGCGCCTTCGGGAAGACAGTGTGAGGGACGCGGGGAGCCCGAGTCTGGGGGAGCCCGTGCCGGGCGCGCTATAAAGGTTCCCGCGGGCACTCGCGCCCCCGCGCCCGGTACGCAGTCCGGCGGCCCCGCCCGACTCCCCGCCCCCGCCCCGCCCCCGCCCGGTCGCTAGCAGCGCGGTGGGCGGCCCGGGCGGATCCTCACCCCTGCCCCGCCTCCTCCGGGTCGGAAACTCCAAGACCCTGCAAAGAGTGATTCAGCCGTGATTCACACGTGCCGCCGAGCTCCAAGTTGCTCCTCGGCCGCTGGAGGCTCCAGGTGCCCAGGGGAACCAGGTGGCCCTCTCCTCCAGGTCCCCTGAGCCCCCCAGTGTCCTGGCCCCGGGCCGCGAAGGCCGGCGACTCCGTAGCCCAGCCTGAGTGGACAGCAGGTCTGTGAGGGGAAGAGAGAAAGAGCTTTGGAAGGAGTTCTGGGGGTGGAGGAGGGGGCTTCTTCCTTCCCCTCGGCGATGAAGTGTCCTGGCCCGGGGAGCGGCTGCATTTACCAAGTTTAATAGCAAGTACCAGTTCTTGGCTCCTGGCTCCTCGCCGACATCGGAGGGCGTCCCTCCCCGCCCCCCACCACCCTGCCCACCTTGGGGCTGGGCCTGGGAATCTGCAGCCCAGTAACCGCGTGACGATGAGCAGGGAGAGCCCCCTCCCAGCTGAGGTTTGGTTTTCTACCCTGAAAACTACGATACCTGGCCTTCCCACCCCAGGGCCTTTAACGTGGGTCTGTACAGGTGGTGCAGATACAGGCGTCTGGTCACAAGTTCCCCTGAAGGACCCAGGGTAGTGACCATGGCAAAGCAGCCGCAGACCTGGCACTTTGCCTCTGGGAGAATTCCAGGGTGACATCCCTGTGGTTCCAGAAAAGGATTGTTCTCACATTGAAGAAGACATCTGTGGAACTGAGTTCCATTCAAGTGCAGAGAAACAAAAAATAAAATTAAAATATGTAATCAGATTTTCGTGTTGCTAGTCTTAAGTTTTGGGTTTTAATTAGTGTCTGGCTTCCTCTTCTGGGCTCTGCTGTAAAAATGGTTAGGCAAGAGAATGTCCACTCTTACTCCACTGAATGGCATTGTACACTGGCTTGTCAAAGTACTTCCTATCATTTGTTATTATTCTAGCTGCCTCTAAGACAGACTGGAGAGTTTTCAGCGGGAGAGTGGAATCTTTTCTTTCTCCTTCTCTTCCACGTTTTCCCCCCTAGGGAAACCAGCCTTGCATTTTAGTGCGTACTGCACACACATTTCCATATAGCCTGCTGAGCCATAGCATTACCCTCATTTTTAAAAGAAAGAAAACTGCAAAAGTTTTAGTCTCTCCCATTGCTTGAACTGAAATAGCACATACAGGTTTAGCTCTTGTAGTCCTTCCGTCTGGGCAACTGCACTTTCTGGTTCCTCTTTGAGCTCTCTTCCAGCTCTAAACCCGTAGTTTATGTTTGCAAAACTAAGCCATGCAATCCTCCTTTTTGCGGGCTGTGGCCTGAGTCATTTTTCTTAACTGATCTTTAGTCCCACATGGAATGTGATTTTTCTGTACTCTGTCCGGAGTTGAAGGTAACTAGGAAAAAGTGTTACACCAATCAAGTGTGTTGGAAGACCCAATGTTGCTCTGTCTAGGGATTCCATTTGGAGCCACCCACTGTCCTGAAATTATAAAGGACTTTAAGCCAGGTCAAGATCAGCAATTTGATGAGAAAAATGTTTAACATTAGATTATGATACGAAAAGTACCTTTTTTGGTATAAATTATGCGAATATTTATTTTGCACACTCACTAAAACGATCGGACAGAGAAGAGAGGAATATCTTGGATGTTTGCTTGATTTTGGAGTAAATATAGAATAACATCCTTCAAATTTTAATAATGCTAAAAAGTACTACCTCTCTCAAGAAGAGGAATAAAACTGGCCAAGATAAAGAACATCTCATAGCAAAGTTTTTTCCTGGTTGATATGACTGTGGCCCCGTTAAAAGTACATTTTCTAAAATTTCACTGTTTTATTGCACAGGAACCAATTGATTGTTAAAAAATTTCACTAACCTTACACAATTTTTTTTTAACCCTCTTCAGTCAAGTCAGGCTTAGCAGTTACCAGTGTTCCCTCCTATATGATACATCTTGGAAACTCTGAGAAGTGAAAAATTCCTAAACTATAATGCCAACCAGGACGGCCTGACCAGTCAATCCCTTTATGATTAGATATTAGAATGTCAGAGGGCTAGAGGGGACCTCACAGACGTCCTTTTACAGATGAGAATCCTGCGGCCACCTGGCCGGAGTGAACGGGCTGGCCTAACCTACGAGTCTGGTCTGGTCTTCTGACCCCAGATTTCTTTCCATTGCCATGCTTTCTTCTACTCCCAATGCATCGAAGGCTAGTGGATTAATTTATTCATTTATAGGCGTTTAACAATGCATTGCAGTTGGTGTGGAACAGACTTGCAGTTTGGGCACTCGCTGTTCTCCAGAAGAAATATCCTGATGGCTATTCCTTGAAGCATGCATGCATGGAGACATGTAGGAGAGGTTGCACAGCCTTTGCATAACCAGTGATGAAATGTGGTTGACGGGGAGTCGGAAGATGAATGAGGTGATATTGCAGCCCTTCCTCTGTACGTTTAGAATGCTCCCCACCGCCCTGGCCGGTTTGGCTCAGTGGGTAGAGCATCAGCCTGTGGTCCAGAGAGACCCGGGTTCGGTTCCCTCTAAGGGCATGTACTTCGGTTGCAGTTTGTCCCAGGCCCTGGTTGGGTCGCGCAGGTGGCAACCACTCGACGCGTCGATGTTTCTCTTTCTCTCTCTCTCCCCCTCCCTCCCTCCCACTCTGTCTGAACAAAAACAACAACAATATAATGCTCCCCACCAAATTTCACTGACTTGATTTTATTACATGCTTCACTGGATTTCAACTGTGTTGTCTGTCTTCCCCACTACCGCTCGTTGGGTGGATAAGGAGGGTTCTTTTTCTTTTACATTTCTCAATCCTTTGCACAATTACCAGCACATGGTAGGCTTTTGGCACATTTTCAATCAATGAATACTTTTGGAACCAAATATTTTCATTGGTATTAAAGAGATGAAATTTGCCATTGAAATTTTTCTGTTTCAGGGCTGGGCAGTGGGTGTTCCAAAATTGGTAAGAAAATATAAATCCATTGTTGGTTTCAATGGATTTGGTCAAAGCATCACTTGACAGCGAGCTCCAGCTACCTAACTAGTGAATTCTGATCCCTGCTATAACCAGAGCGCCCAAATCAGCAGGAGAGGTAGCTGAAGAGCAGAAAACAAATGGGTAAGTGTGGGAACTGGTGTTTTTCTAAAAGACTGGATTCTAGGGTGAGTCAGAAGAATTGTCGGCCACATGATGAGGTTGTTGATAGGTCTCCTTGCAAAGCAAGGCTTAATGACTTTTTCGAGTGAATTGCACAAAATGTCTATCTCCCCAGGAAAGGGTGATAACAGGTGAAATAGAGGGTAATTCATATAAAACTATTACATGTGTATGAAATAGTAAAAAGAGCTATGACACCATTTTACCCCAAATTCAGGTAAAAGGAAAGCTACGAGGAAAGACCAGAGGGAATTTAGAGTGGGAACACAGAGTTCTGGGAAAGAAAAAGTGACTCAGCAGAACCTAAAACACATCTGGCAGGGGATAGTTAGTCATGGAAAATTTGGCAGTCATGATTATGCATTTTGTAAAAATGTTACATACTAGTCCAACAGCTAACATTTAGGCCAAGATGAGATAGTTGAAAGCCCTTCCAATGAAGTCTATTATCCTGGTCATTCAAAATTCTTTTATTAAAGTTTAAAGAAACCTTTAACAAATAAGTGATCACATAGTACCAATATTCTGAAAAGCATACTTTTAGAGAAAAAGCTTTCAGTTCAAATGTTAGGCAAAGATTAGTATTTTCAGTACACAATTATCTTTATAAATCTACTTATCAAACTACTTGTCAACTTTCATTTTGATTAACAGTGTATTTTAATTCTCTACATGCAATAGTGACAAAATAAATAAAAACATAAATGCAAATAGTGGATATTGTTTTGATGACAAAAAGTCATTTAAAATGAAAATATTTAACATGTTTTTATTAATATAACACATGATTTAGAAGTTTTTATATGGTATCATTTTATGTAAGCATCCCTTAATTCTCCATTCCTATAACTCCTTATACCTGATGCATGTACTAATTTGATGACCAGAAATTTGTTCATTCAATAAATACTTGAATATCTACCTGATGCTGAGTTCTCAGATTCTGAATATACAAAATAAAGCAGAGTCCTTTTCCTGTGAAATATGTCATCACTCCTATTTATTGTCCCAATTTTAATGGTTTGAATAATTTTCTGTCAGTATTTTGGGTTGGATATTAAACAATCTTAACAATGTCACTTATTATAAACTTTGTTCCATACAAATAAAAAAATAAGATTTAGGTGTGTCATGGTCAGTCCATCAGACAGGTATCTTTAACTCAACAAATTATCTGTGAGCTTGAAGTACATGGACTTGATCAATTTGAATGTATTGATGAACTCTCAAAGTTTTGCACATGGAACAACAACAACGAAATCCCAATACAGAAAGATGACTCTATAAAAAGGCAAATCTAACAAAAAATTTAGCTAGGCATGGGATTTCTCCAATAAAGAATTAAAAGAATTAGTGAAATAACCAATTTAAAAGCTTCGTATATGAGCCCAGCTGGTGTGGCTCAGTGGTTGAGTGTTCACCCATGCAGCAAGATGTCGCCGGTTCAATTCCTGGTCAGGGCACATGCCCAGGTTGTGGGCCCAGTCCCCAATGGGGGGCATGCAGGAGGCGGCCAATCGGTGTTCTCTCTCACTGATGTTTCTCTCTCTCCCTCTCTCTCTTAAATCAAAAAAGAAAATTTGTTAAAAAAACACTTTTTTTTTTCCCCGAAGCGCTATTTTATTTATTTATTTATTTATTTATTTATTTATTTATTTTTGTTACAGATGTT